GGGCTTTGTGCAACCTGGTCTAGTGGAAGGTATCCTTGCCCTTGCTGGGGGCTTAGAAGTAGATGATCTTCTAGGTCTCTTCCAAACCAAACCATTCTATGATTCTATGATAAATAGACAATTAGAAAAAAAGAAATAATAACATAGCAAATGTATTGCCTATTGAATGAGATATTTTATTTTTGTTGTTAAGTAACTGATCCTGAAAACCTTTGAAAGAAAATGGACTTTGGTTGCTTCTGGAAATATTTGAAATGCTGAAGGACATTACATGGAAGACTCTATACATTCCTGGTTTGGGCAGATTTTTAACAGGCTTCTTGGGAAGAGGTGAGGAGGCAAAGAGAAAACACAAAGCAGTGCACACTGGTATTTTTAATGCTCCGGATAGGAAATGTAAAGAGAGGAATGCCAGGGACCCTCACTTCTTGTCCTTCTTACCTTGCTTTTGGATTAGAGTAAAATTCTGGACCCACTTCGTTCGCTCTCTCTCTCTCAACCTGAATTGGTTTACAAAGTGCACAGGCAGTGAAGAACAAGCATCTTTCCCTCTTTCCCAGTGAAGAACAAACAACTTTCCCTCTTTTATCACAGCTACAGAAACCTGTGAATTTGTCAAAAAATAGTATTTCTGCTGCACTGAGGGAAAGCAACAGGGGAGAGCTTTATAGCTTATAAGGAGACCTACAATTCTAGACATGGAGCTGCAGAGCAAGCAGCAAGATTTGCAGAAATACAGGCTAGCAGAAGTAGTTGTGAGTGCCTTTAGGATGATCTATTTTCTCCAAGCCCAGGGAGTACTGACAATTCATCCAGCTCTGATTTAGGTCATTTTATTCAGTGTTTCCTTCTTCCATAGGAGACATGAAGAGAAGCATTTATTTCTTCCCCACGTGAATAAGCCTCTCTGAAGTTGTGCTCTAGCTCTGTAACAAAAACCACCCTGCTTTCTCAAAGATACCCATGTCAATCTCATGCTTCCTGACTTTCATATTCCTCTAACTCCCAGGTATCCAGGCCCATTGGAGAGTAGTCAATCAGGAAAAGGTGCTGCTGATCTCATCTCCCCTAAAGTGATATATACCTTCGACAAGGGGTCGGAGGACCTGTAAGCTTCTTGGACAAACTGCACCCACAGGACTTCACAGTGATAAAATCCTCGCTTCATTTATTTCTTCTGTGTTCAAGGAAATACACTACTTGTCATAGTTCTTCCAAGATGAATGATATAAGGAACTATCACCTCTTGAACAGCTTTTTAATTAAAGGATTAACCAATAGATCTGACTATCCTTTTTGTCAGTTCCTCCTGAGCTGACATGAGGTTGACAATAGGTTCACAGCAGGTTCTCAAAACTTAGATGTTTTACCTCTTTCTATTAACAAGAAAAGCAGTTCAGCTGGCAGTTTCTTAATGCTGGAAACTTTTTTGGTTCTTGGGGATTGTCGAGCAGTGCAGTGTATTTACAAAGATAACTCAGTTCACTTTGCCTTTTCTGAGAGGATGAAAGAGGACAAGATTCCCACCCAGTAAAATACATTTAGATGTCATTACTTCTGAGTCACTTGGATGATAATAAGGCCCTTTGGCTACAGTGGGTTCTCCATTGTATTTCATAAGTACATCTGTAATATATAAATCCTGTACTGCTCTTTGTGTAATGACAATATATTCTGGGGAGTATAGACAACTTTATAGTACTCTGTAATAAAAAAAATTACCAATCACTTGATGTTGATAATATCAATGATATAGAGCTGAAGTAAAAGAAATCGGCTGAAGTCTCAAAGTTCAAAGTGCAAGATAAGATACTTAAGGAACAATAGCAGAGCTTCTGCTGGCAGTTCAGGGTTTCACAATTCTAAACAAAGAGTCCTTGTTGAAGAGTTCATCAGAGAATGATTGTGAGATACCAATGCAACGTTGCCTGGGAAAATCGGAACTGTCTCACTGAGAGCACTGGGATAAGTATTTCCTGTAGAGAAAGTGTTGACATCAGGGCCCAGGATGCTCGCGAGTTCTTTTTTTCCATGATGCAGCCATTTGGGGCTCTGCCCACCCCAATGGATATCTGGAAGGTAAACTCAGATTTGAGCAGGATCAGAAAATGGCCTCAGGGAT